AGGCGCGCGTGCCGTGTGCTCTGTCCGGGCTTGTCGCGCCCCTGCAAAGAGCCAACAGTCAACTGTCCACACGAATTTTTACTGCGTTACTGATTCTACTGATTCACGGCTGTTATCTTTTCGGCGCTCTTGTCATCTCCCTCCCTTAGTATCTTCTCTGTCTTTCTTCTTTGTTTATTCTCTTCCTCTTTCCATACCGTATCCTCTATCCTCCGCGTAATTCGCGCGTTTTTTTTTTCTATCTTGTCACCATAGATCAGTTGTTCTGTACTTATCCCCTCTGCCCAAACGACACCGCAAAATTTAATAGTGGGAAATCGTGTCGTTGTAGAAGTGCCGCGAGTTTCGTAATCGTCTATCAACGAAGTTGCACCGGCGATTCGAACAGGTGAGTCGAAAAACAAGATTCATACCGTGTCAGTAATTGTTTTCCTTAGATTCCTGTCATTAATCAGTACAGCGATTACAACGAATTCTCGTAAATCGATAAAACTGAGAATTGATTCGTCGACTGACACGATATTCGAAATGTATATCGTGATGATCATAGACCGCCCCCTCCCGCGACTGTTTCTCGCGGTTATCGATTCCGGTGTGAACGCGCCCTGTCTGGAGTTATCTGGTTGTCTTTCTTACGCGCATCTTTCTTCCACAGGATCAAGTTTTTTGAATGATCAATATCGAGCCGCGTAAATATCGTTTACGCGGCCTTTTCGTTCTTTCACCGTTTCGCATACGTGTGGATAAAACTTAAAGGCTTCCTCGAGTGCGTTCGTGAACGCGTGTCAGCAATTCGAGCGTGATTTCGGTACCGTAGCTTGCAAGCAAAAGGTAACGAGCCAATAATACGAATTAATTACACGCATCGTGACGGCTGACAGTTAACGCGAGTATGAACATTGTGGTTGTATTAATACAAACATTGTGTTAATACGAATGAATTGTGAACATGCATATTTACATATATGCGTTCTATTTTTCGAAGAATTTATTTGTTTAATTTTGAATTTGTACACTCGAAATGTATTCGTCTCGAATTCAGTTAATTCTTGGTGTGTCAGTTTACTTTGTTGTCTGCTTCGGAAGTAGACCGAATAGTCTAACATATACATGCATATATATGCATATTTTACATTTTTAATTCGATTTAATTATACGATTATATGAAATATATTATATGCATAATTATATTTGTCAGAAAAATGAAATTGTATATATGTAAAAATGTCAATATTTTTATTAAAAATTTTAAATAATATATATTATAAAAAGTTTTTGAAATGTCGAAATATATGATTGAAAGATAGAATCTTTTCATTAATCTTTCATATTTTTTATCATTTTAATAATACTGCATTTAAATATGAATAATAAATTATATATATAAAATATTGGAAGTTTTTTAAAAATTTATATACATATTCATTGCATCCAAAATCATATATCGTAGTGATGAAATTTCATCTGTGATATAATAATATTTTTATTGACTACATAAGTTATATAAAATTTCATTTGTTATATAAAATAATAAATACTTCCGAATTATCGATTTTATAATTATTTTAAAGTATTTTATTATTAATTTCTTTATATAAAACATAATTAAAATTACAATATTATTATAAAATCTTTACAATTTTTTTTGTCCAACAAAGATTCAAAGATAAATTTGATAGTTTATAAATATAATAATTTTATATTATGAAATTTCAGTTGTTAATGATAAAATGATATATTTATGACTTTCGATATATCGTAGGAATCATGCGTATTAAGCATATCATATAAAATATAGAAAAAAAAAATACGAAGATTTTAAAATAAAATGAATATCGTCAATGATTAAAAACAGAATTTTTTTTTAAAACAAATTGAGATAAATATATCTTTTTATTTATTGATAAATAAATTTGCATTTACGAATCTTATCATCAGTGTTATAAAAATAAATATTTTTTTATAGCTATTTTTTTAGAAATATTATCTTTCGAATAAAATTTTCAGATATTTATTAAATGGTTCACGGAGAAAAAATTATACTTGTGATATATTCTTAAAACTTCAGTTTACAATAATATATGTGTTATTTGATTCAATGTTTTTTAAAAGAACAAAAAATTCAATTGTACATTCAATTTATGTTACATTTTGTTTTTGAAAAGTTCTTAAAAATCAGCCACTATTAATCTCATAGTAAAGATTAAATCTCTTATTTTCAGTTGGATGCTACGTTATGATCTTGTTGACCTTGATCTTTAAAACGGGATTTGCTTGACATCAAACAATTTTGTTTCTTTGTTACACAGTATTCTATGAAAATTATATGTTCATATAATTATACAATTCTATTTCACATATTCTATTTCAGCTTATAATTTTATAGATATAATTTTATATTAGAGTTTTAAATATATAATATTCGTTCAAAAAATATTAGTTTATATATTTATTTATTATTTATATATATATATATAATATTTTTTGCTTATCTTAAAATAAATTTTATTATTGAAATAATTAAAATTTGATTTCTCTTAAACATAATTTTAAAAAAATTATGTTTAATAAATAGTATTTTAAAACATTTTCTTGTTCTTCAAGTTGTTAAATATTGTTTAACAATATTTAAAAATTTTCTATTCCTTATCAATGTATTTTTTCAAAAATTTTATTTACATAAAATATATAGATATTTATCTATTTTATTCTGCAAATTTATTCTGAAATTTTATAAATATCTGTAATATGTAATATTTGTACTAATATATTTTAATCTTTAATCTTTTAATATATATATTTTAATCTTTTATAAATATATATTTATTCAATTTTAATCTTATTTCTTATCTTTTTAGAAAATACAATTTTCAAGTTAATTTTTATACTCTTTCAATATATCATTCACAAATTTATTCAATTTTTTATTCATTTTCTACTAATTCATATTATCACTCGAATGACTCTGATTTTCTAAGTTTTAGTTTTGTAGAAAAAATTATTCCACGACAGGCTATCTATACAGATATCAGATAGAAATCATTTCGATTTCATTGGGATTTATCGATTGCGCAAGTAAAAACGATGTTATATCTGTGTACGTGTATATACGAGAAATTTGTGATAGTTCATGGGCCCGACTCATGCAAGCCGTTGATAATGCATAATAGGTACGTACCTGGTAGAACTAAATCGTCGGAATAGCAGTGCAGTACTCGATCAAACTTTATAAAGATTCTTAATATTTTAGACTTATAAAACTTATTTACAAGTAGAGAATCTCGATTCGATAATTTTAAAAATAATAATTAATTTTATTTTATTCCTTCGTTTATTTGTAGATATAGATTCTTTTATTTAGGATAATAAAATGAATAGAATAAAAACTGATAGAATACTGATTATGTGATAGATTATTAAATTAGTGATAGTTATTAAATTATCATGAAAATCATGATTATTATAATTTTTTTTCTCCTTGCTATTTTTATTAATTTGTTTTTTTTTTCTTTAAGATATTTTAGATATAAAATTTTGTAATTGTATTTTTTAAGAAATTATAACATAATCAAAACATCATATAAAAAATATATTTATACATGCTTGCATAAGAAATAGTACTATACAAGATTAGAAATTGTTCATTATATTTTTAGTAGGACAAATATAATGCATCGTGACAATGTCGAATGTCGGTCGATGTTAAGTATAGATTTACTATTTTACAGTCAACTTTTTTACTAGTTTTCATATTCTTCAATTATAACTCTTTATTGATTACACGAACTATATTAGTTAATAGTAACATATTACTTACTCGCAACAGAAAGCAATCATAGATGTATGATTTCACGAAATGTTCAAGATATTTTTGTTGAGTTTATATTTGTATTTCTTAAATATTTTAAAATATTTTAAAAGAATAGTTGATGAATATTCAAAATCCTAATGATGAAATATTCATATTCATATTCATAATTTTATAAATCCATTCAGCTTAAAAATTATTTATTTGTATTTTATTTTTTTTGTATTTTAAATGTTATTTTATCTACAATGCAATATTGAATTTTGTTATTATATTATTGAATTTATATTAGAAATTTAATAATTTCTACAGTAAGTTTCTAGTTTTCAAGTATCCAATGTACAGTTTCTAACTTTGAGAAAAGCAAATATGAGACTTAATGGATATTCTAAATAATAGAAGCAAAGTTTCTATTTACAATTAAATGATATTACATAAGTACTTACTGTATATTTATTATATATAATTTAGTTTCTTGTAATTTTATATAAATTAGAATTAAATGTCAAAGTATTTATATTTTTTAAATATTATTTTATATATTTATTTTATACATAATTTTTTATATCAAATATAAAATTAGAAAATAAAATTAAATTAGATAAAATAAAATTAGAAT